CTACCTCCCTTTGACCCGCGATTCCTCCTACCCCTACCCGCAGACGGGGGAGGAGCGCGAGCCGCAACACTAGCCTTCTGTGCCCGTCTCTGATCCTCAAACCGAGACGGGCCAGGAGTTGTTCGGGCTCAGACCTGGACCTTCGTGGAATGAAGGATTTGAAGGCCGCTGAGCGCGCCTTCGCCTCCCTGAACTTCTCAACCACCGTCTTGACGGAGGTTCCAAAAAGTTCGGAAGGCGAAACCGGAGCATCTAGGAGAAAGCCCCTCTCTTTATTCCCGATATCTGCCAGGTTCACTATCATTGCCACCATAGACCTGCCCATAGCGGAGGCGGCCTGCTTAGTAGCACGGAGAGCAAGATCCGTGGTGCGGCGGAGCTCAGCTACCTCATCAGGAGAAAGGCCCTCGCCTTTATCCAGGTGTTTCAGCAGATCAGCCTGATACGCCTGGAGCACCGCCATAGTGTGCAACGAAGCCACAGCCTGACCTGCTGCTGCGTACGCCCTGCCATTTAAGCGCGATGTATCCTGAAGGGGCTTAGATGGCAAGGAGGGAGTATTAAGGGTGACGTCTCACCCATAGAGAGATAGCTAGCCAGTGTCTCTTCTACAGGGGGCATCCTCTCATAGCTGTTTTCACGCATCGCCTCGATGTTGGCATAACTCGTATGCTGGAACTGATAGATGTGTGAGGAAAACGGCCTCTTCCATTCCTTCTCGATCTCAATATGCAAATCAGGAAGAAATGGAAGGCTCACCTGAGCTGGAGGGTTATGGCCAGAAAGAAAACGCTCATTGAGGTGACCTTGCAAAGTCATTTTCTTGGCCCGCTTCTACGGCAAGTCCAGCCTTGCCGTGGCGCGATCCATAACTTCCAACAGCTCATCATACGCAGGGCAGGAGGATTGGGAAGGCTCAGCCTCTTTGCCATCCTCAGACATCTCCTGCTCTTCCTGGGCCGAACCCAGCAGAGCACTGGCCCCCGGATCAGACAATGTTAGAGAAATAACATCATCCTCCAGCGGCTCTCTCTCATCCACAGCCAACGAGCGCGAGAGGGAAAGCCACTCTTTAAACTCATCAGCCAGGTCCACCTGCGATCCCCACGAGCT